TAATCTCAATACCCCTGCTTGAGAACATCCTCGTGTTGGATCTCTTATTTACCTTTTTTCGCGACCAAATGTAGCTTAAACCTTCCCCAAGGTCTGATCTGCCTATGTACCGAATTTCATCGCAACCGGATGAACGGTTTAGGAATGCATAATAGACATACAAACTTTTTTTGTCTTTTATATATAATATAGATAACGTTTTACGAAAAACTAAAAATTAAAATAACGTTTAAAAATGTAATAGTTTAAAAACAGAAAAAATCAAATAATATTTCAACGTGCTATAACGTTTCAAAGTACAATAACGTTAAACGTTAAAATTGTATAAAGTTTTAATATCCAAAAACGGAAAAACGATATTTTTTTTAGAATTTAATCCCTGTTTATAATAACTAAGTACAGAAAAAAAGTTTATACATATCCGAATATCACTTAAGTATTGTAATTATACATATTTAAATTATATATATTATCAGCTGTTAAAACTATGGTATATCTTTCATTAAAATACAAGTCATATTCGAAGTGCTTACGTACTTTTATTATTTATATTAAATTCTAATAATAGTAATACTATTTTTATAGACAAAATAAACAATAATATAATATTAAATTAACGCCTAACAATAAATTGTGCTATGCAAGACAAATAACACGAATGTCTTTTTATAATAGTCACAGATAATATATATAATATACATAAAAATACTTTTTCTTTATCTAAGCTTGACCAAACTAAACATAATATTTTGAGCACATTCCGAGAATAATATATTGTTTTTGTATTTCTAATAAACATAATGATTTTTTAATAAAAATAATGAAGTTTTTTTTCTTATCTCTTGTTGAGTTATTATTTCGGAATAATAAATAATAATACGTTAGAAAAGTTTAACGATAACAACAGTTAGTTTACATTAAATGTATAAATTACCATAAAAACTGTTCAATTCATCATTAACTGTACAAATTTAAAAAAATAAATAGAAAAATTGATATATTATTATTATGATTTTGTAAATAGCTGTTTCGTTCTTCTTTTAATAGGTATACACAGACCCGTATTTAGGGGTGCATGGGTAGGCACATGGCCGGGAGCGTCAAGTCTCAGGAGCGCAAAATATTTTAGTAAAATTAATTTTAAAAATTATGTACCTAATGAAAAAAAAATAAAAATAAAACAATAAAAAAAAGAAAATAGTTTGTTTTGTTATGTTATAATTTGTTAAAAAAAGAAAATTGTATGTTGTTATGTTATTATTATTATTATTTTTTTTTTTTGGGGGGGGGGCATAAATTATATGATTGGTGGTGCCAAATTTTTAAATACAGGCCTGGGTAAATAATAGAAGAAAAAAAAATGTGATACCTATTAATTATTGCCATATTTTATCTAATCTATCCATCTATCTTCATATACTCGTATAGAAATCAGTGGTGTTTAACCCGCTGCCCACGGACCACATGTATCTCGCGAAGGTATCCTATCTGGTGCGTCACATTTTTTTAAAATAAAACAAAATATCCAAAGAAATTAAAATTATTATAAAATTTGAATTTTTATTAATATATTAATTTCATTTTCGGACATAATCAAATAGATCAAAACAAGTCCAATGTATACTTAATAAGTATAATAATTATATAATTATATGTATACTGTGTACTTACTATGTGTAACAAAATTAAATGATTAGATTTATATTGACATTATTTGCACTTTTATATTTGGTGGTCCGCTCGAAGATAATTATTTAACAAATTGGCCCACCAAGGAACAAATATTGGGTATCACTGATATAAATCATTTTTATAAACATATATATTTATGTTTATAAATATCTACAGATTTATAAAGAAAAATAATTGCCAAGTGGAACGAAAGATCATTTGAAAACAGCTCGACATACAATATATTGTATTTCTTGTATTTCGCTGATTTTTTTTTGCTGTCATTTTTGTAAGAGTTAGTAGAAGGTTTGAATAAAAGACATTCACTAAAAAATCCATAGGAATATTCAAAATTTTGGATGATATTTTTGTACCAAAAATGTCAATGAAAAAATTTGACATTCAATTTGACAGTTCTGTTTTCTATTATTTTCAAACGATAGATGAACCAACGTACGTGGTAAAAACATCAGAAATGATGAAAGTACCACAAATTTGAAAAATTATCATTTAAAATGATTATACGATAGCACACAATAAGTATGCACAGCATTTGATTGAACGTTGAGAAATTTGTGCAATAATTGGGCATCTTTGGAGATTCCATAGGTTTGCGATTTTCACCTAACGTTGCAAGGCATTCATAGATCTACAGCTGATAATACAATTAATGTCTGCTTGAAGATTCCAAGTATTGGTGCATTATAAAAACCATACTTGGTTGAGTGAACAAACGCTTTGGTAGCGAAAAAAATTACATAGGACATAGGCGATTTGAATATAAAAATGCTAAGTGAAATCGGTGGCCAATTGCAATAATTTAAGTCAATCAATTCCATTGAGGATTCGGATGGAATAGTCGGTTATCCAATACATTTTCTGAATTACTTGGATTTTTTGGGAATGTGCTGCAGCTCAAAATAAACTCTATGATAATCTTGTTATGCAATCTGAATCAACCGAAAATATGCCATACAACAACACACGCTATAAAGAATTTGATGAAAAACGTGATTGTATTTCATAGAAAAGTTCAAAGTTGAGGATATTCTAATTCCGAGAATACCACTTATTCTAACTGACTTGTTGTTGAAATTTAAGCATGTCCAGTTTTCTGTTTGATTTGCATTCGCAATAGATAATCGCAATGTCAATCATTGAAAGTGTGTGAAATAAACTGAATTTTTATGTTTTTCCCATACAACGCGTTTAAGAATTGATAAATTGTCGATGCCATTAGTTTTCTTTACGTTTGTAAAGATAAAAAATTACGTCCATTTTAAGGGTTAGAATAATGCATTAAAAATACAAACATATTATTGTCAAAACAACGGATTCCGATTAATTTAATTTCAATAAATTTATGATTGTAATGAAACTGTTTATTTAAATTCTCATAAATTCAGGGATAGAAAGGTTGAACAAATCCCTCTTCGACGACTTTACCGAAGGAAAAATTAACGTCATATATATCAATGCGGTATATATTAAGGTTTTAAAATGATTGTTTTTTATTATTATTGGTCGGTTAAGAAAAATTATGTGTGTAAAAAATAATAATGAACTTTATTTCAATATTATTCAAAACAATCAAGTCTTTATAATATTATTTTTATAAATGATTATTTAGTTTTAGTATGACCGTCCACACGAGTAATTCAATTGAAAATATTTTATGTGAGAAAACTGTACACAAGTAAAACCGAGTAACACGGATAGTGTAGCTATTATATTATAAAATATTAATTGTAAATTGAAATTAATAAATATATACTGTAACATATTATTACTGTACATTGAATGTTTTTACATATTCCTTGATTTCTAGAGGCCATTTTTTCTTGAATATATATTTTTTTAGCATAATATTAATTTTCTCAAGTAGTCACATGATAGAATATCATACTATAATATATTTCGTTTTACATGGAAAAAAAATGTTAAAATTCGACATACTTGGCTTTTTTCCATTTGGCCAAGAATTTTTCATTCGTTTCCAACTTATATAGTATTTTGGATGTATTGGAAACTCACAGCGAAAGCTATAACTTCCTTTCCGTATTGTATTTCTTGTCTTTATTTTTAAATCATAATAATTTTTATAATCTTATACTTTGTATACTTTGTTTATTTAACTTTATTTATTTATTTAAATCAGAACAATAAGGTGGCGGTATAAACATTTTGTTTTTGTTTTAATTTTTGATGCATATATAACTTTTATAGGTCATATAATACAATTTATAACAATACTTAAAATACTTTATGCAATGATGTAGTAATTATACCAATAATAATAATAATAGTTATTAATAATAATAATAATAATAAAAATAAATGCATTTTATATAATTTTATTACTAATGATTAATTTTTCATAAATTGTAACGTATTACATAAAGAATACGTTAGTAACGTATTCTTTAAAAATTAAAAATAATTATATTTTAAATACTTACGAATATATTGGAATTATAATTATTTTATTCATACACTTCCAAATAATACATCACCTATATAGTACCACAACACGGTGATTTACCAGGGATATAATTTATCAATGTATTCAACGAGATTTACGAGTATTAGTTTTAAAATACTTTGAAAACTACCTGAAATCTAAATTACTCTTCCTTTATTTATGTATAGGTTGTCAATAAAAAATAAAAAAAATGAATTGGGTACCTACTCTGGAAATGTTCCAGTACTTTTTCCACGAGATATAATGATATTAAAGCTTTATTTTTCATTATCAGCAACTTGTTTTATCCCGTAAATTTCGGCGGTCGTCATTATGGCTATTATCCAGTATTAACAATACTTCATGAAAAGTTGTTTTGATTTGCATAATATTATTAAAGCATGATTTATACAATAGAAGTATATTATCAACGGCAATGATCGATGATGAATTTATTTTATGCATTGTGAACGAAAATGCAGTTAAAAACGTCTAATTTATATTATCATTCATGCCGAAAGAAAACGTCTTTCGTATGCGTTCCGAAAAATGTTAAAACTAAAATTAACATGAACTGTTTTATATTAAATAAATGTTTTGACATAGTTTAGTTGAAGTTCAAAGATAATATACTGATCATTTGTGATTCGGAGAGATTTTAATTTTTTTTTGATTCAATTATTTGTTTTAAACTATGTTTTATGGAAAAAACTTTTAAGTTTCACTTAAATCACTATTTTTGATTGTTGCTGTTATTCGATATTTAGTTTATAAACTAGTTTGAATTTGTATAATAAGCATCAACTGTCAAGTAATACATACTACTTATAATAATAATATAATTTTATTTACAGAGTAAAAAGTTATCAATTTTGAATATATATTAAAATAAAATCCAGTGAATTGAATACACGATGCAATAAGTCATGAAGACCGGTTCATTGTGGTTTGCACATTGATTTCGTGTAGCATCATCACATGGCATTATCAAAATGTATTTACGTGGATGGACGTCTATACCTTTGATCCCAACATTGTTTTTTGGAAGAACCGAAAAAGATAAATAGCATACTACACGCAATAGGTAAAGTAATAGCCAATGAAAACAATACATTCCAGTTGATAGTGTCTCCAAATAAATTCCGTGCTATCATTGAATCCATTATGTTTCCGAGAGAATAAAACACATCGCATAACGCTATTAGACATCCTGCGTATCCTAGAATATAATAAAGTGTATAATAGATATCATACGAAAATATACTTGAGAGTGAATGTGACAACAGTACAACAGAGTGACAGAGAAAAAAAATTAACCGTATAGTATTATATTCTCGTGATTTTTAAATGTTTTTCAAATAATAATTTTGATCGAAAACTTTTTCGGAGGTAATAAATCACACGATCGATGTTATATCGTATAATACAATTACCGACTGACTGCGATATGCTCGGTGTGAGGGAAAGACAATAAATTACGGCTTTATAACACTTACTTGGGCATAGGTCCAAAGAGTTGATTCGGAGACTACTTCGCTCGAAACCCAACAGTACCACGGACATTTTCATAAAAGATTTAACTATAAATCTGTTACAGTCGGCCACCACGGCGCCCATCAGCATCAGTGGTGATCCAATTAGTACGATGGCAGCGTACCATTTCCTGATGGTTGTTTTTTTTATTGTATCCGCGTTCGTTAACGATATTGCAGACACGCCCGCGAGTATAGATGTCGTCCAACATATCAGCCAGGGTATAGACACTTGGATACCGTTTTTCATAGCATCGAGCCCTAAAACTTTGACACCGTAAATCGGTAACCCGGTGGTGATGAAGCCATACAAATATCCATGGCTGAATAAAAACACAATTATTTTACTTGTTGTAGCTGTACGATTCTACAACACTATAGGGGTTGATCGCACTGATTTGATCATTTTTCTATGAAAACAATTTGATTTTCGGTTTAAATTGAATAGGATATCGTGCGCGTTACTTCTAATTTGTAATTGTTTCCGAAATCGTGTGATTCATGTAAATAAATTTATTTAAATCTATTTTAACGAAATAAAAATCGGTGGACGTTCGGTCGAACACAACAGACTAGTAAATATTAATCGTGATGACGAATCGATACATTTTCTACAGATCACTTGACAGAGCGTTATGAAGGTTTTGCGCAAATAACTGTTCGGGTGATGTTTAGCGGGAAAACGTATGAATTTGTAAAGAAGTTGTGATGGTGAATGAAAAGATAAAAGTACGATTAAATCACACGGTTAACCAATGTGTTCAAACTTCCAAACGGAAAGTCACGGTTGTACCGCGTTTCGAACGCTTAAAACTTATGGTTATTAGCAACGCGAAGAATCATGTACACTATCTGATCTCGGTTCGGGATAAAGAACAAAAAAAAAAAGTAAAAACACTCGTTCAAAGAGTAATTCATGAACGATCCGCGGAGAAACGTCGATTGGAGTCGTGCGTGAATACACTTATGCGGGCTGAACCTACCGCGAACCGTTCGCGCCGATCCATCGGGAGTCGGTTTTTTTGACGAATCTCTCACGAACCCAGTACACGTTGGGACGCTGTTGGTTTGATATTGGTTCGTCAGCGGATCGAAAGCGTATCCGTGGCATTAACGCTATCAACACGACACGAACCTTTCACGAGCGGTTCGCGGTACGTTCGGCTCGCACATGTATGCGTGGCTTTTACACCGTACCCGAGCGACGCGAACAGCAGAGCTATGTATGGCCCGGACCGGAGCATCACGGCCCAAGGGGTCGACAAGAAAGTGGTCGGGCCCGAGTCGTCGGCGTCCGCGGCGCGGTCGTACGGCGTCCAGTGCACCATGGTCATCCACGTGGCGGCCCAGGCGAGGCCGAACATCGTGAGCGCGATGTGACTGCCGTAGTGCGACACATGCGGTATGAACACGCCACTGAAAAGGTTGCCGGTGAAGCCACCGAACAGCGTGCCGGAAAACATGCACGTCGAGTAAAGGCTGCTCTTCGACCTGGGTATGATCTTCCCCGCTAGCGTGCCACCGCACGGACCCGACGGGCCGAACGCGCAGCTGGAAAACGAACGGTTGAAAACAAATTGGTTTAGGAAAGGGGCACGGGGGGGAGGGTCAGTGGTTCTGGTCTCAAATTTACCGGGCCCAGCAGTCGAAAACTACATCTGCAGTCGATCTGCACGACATAGGCTCGTAACGAGGTAAACTAGTAAATATTAATCGCAATGAATCGATACATTTTCTGCAGATCAATCGACAGAACGTTTTATGAAGATTTTGCGTGAATTACTGTTCGGGTAATGTCGTCATCGATCGTAAATAACGTTATCCGTTTTCTAAACGTGTTATCGAGTAAATTTCAGTTTTCGACTTTAGAGCGTGACACTTTACGAGAGCTAACGCGGTCATTAAAATCGTTTGCCCCATCATTGCTGTTTGGAAAGCCGACTGGATCGAACCGAGCGTCGGTGTTCCGTTTTGTCGTTCGTTTATTATTTCCGTAAACATTCGAAATCGATTAGGTTGAAGGTGTATTTAAAGCACATAATATTAGTAGTAACAGTGCAAGATAAACGAAAACTGTATTTTATATCCGTATTAAAAGCCATCAAACGAACAGATTTGCATTTTATTAAGATATATAGGTACGGTCTTTGCTGGAATTACCCATTTAAAATACCACATTTGTCGAATTTACGTTTTCGTGGTATATTTAGCGATATTTACGGTGAAAATAAACTACCCGAAAACTGTATTTTTAAAAAAAATAATTAACAATTTTTCGGGTGAATAAAGATTCTATCAAACGAATTGTTTTTAACATACATGCTTCAATAAAATCACTTTATTTATATTAAATTTGTAGAAAAGAAGATACGTGTTATACACTCACAGTTCCAAAAAAATATATATTTACGTTTCCAAAAGTTTTTCTTTTATTCCGTTAAAGTTAACAATACTCTGATAAGTATTAAGTTCAATTATAGTAAACATTTAGATTTTAAGCGATATAATAAATTATTGGAGAGGCTTCTTTTACTTTCATTTTACAATTTGAAAAAACACCAAAATTCCCCTATAACTCCACAATAAATATCCATGTAAACTTCAAAGGTATAAAAAAAAATAAATAATTTTTCGGTATTTGTAATATAAAAGAAAAATTGAAAATATTGAACAAAAAATAGGTACTAAGAAAAAATAGAGAGTCATGAAAAACATTTTAAACACTTTAGTTAAAAAGACATAAATAAACAGCAAAAAATGTTTGACACTGAAGAACTAGAAAAGAATGGTTAAAACTATTCAAGTACTTGATTAAATAAGTATTATTAATTATTAAATATAACCAGATTTATCTTTAAGATATAAAAATATTACCAAGGTTACCTATTTGGCGATTTTCGACTAAATTGATTAGTGCGAGGTTATATCAATTTTTAATATAGGATAATAAATTATAACAGTCGTGAGATTTCGAGTAAAAATATATTTCATCTAGGCCGGGTGATAAAAAAAAATCCTTTGTTATTTTATTTTTCTATTAAGAACAGTATAGTTATAAAGTTTTTCATTTTGACATTCGTGCTGTTGAGTTAACTACACCTAAACCTATAAAAATATATCATTTCAAAATAAAAACGCAGGTTTATAAAATAAATAATGTTACACTTTTGTGTATTATTATTTTTGTGCTTGTAATGTAACTCAGATTAGTCTGTACATACACCATAGGCCTTAGGTTATTTTTACTATTATTATAGTTAAAAGGATATATTTTAATTTGAATCACTATAATAATAATAATTTTTTTATCGAAATCATGTCTCCAGCATATTTAATATTATATTAATTATATATATATTATATATTTAATGTAAAATTTAGAAAATTATAATTCAAATAACATTGGAATACCCTATTGTGAACTAGAATTATGACGGGGTTTAATAGTAAATGATTTATTTAGGTTATTTTTTTCCAATACTCCGGCTTACATTGTTACACTGAATACTCTTTACAGAACATTGATAATATTGGTCGGTCATAATTTTGAAAATTTTATTTACTATTATTATTCTTGCAAAACGATAAAATTGATATCAAAAATAGAATGGCTGAAAGATCAACAAACTCATTTTCGCAAAAAAATAAAATTGATACGTGTAGTAAGGCCGAAAATAATATGACTTTACAGTGATAGAGATCACATATTGAAACTCTAGAAACATATTTAAATAAAAAAATGCTTCATTCATTGCTTTATTTAACTTAGGTATGTATACGCATAATTCATGCACAGTAAAATATGAATAAGTTTTTCATAATTGATTTTTTATTGAAACAAATATTTTAATTGAACATTTGAAACATTAGTAATTACACTATAAATTAACTAAACATTTTATGAGTATATACGATTATATTAATAGTTTCCAACCTTTTTAATTCTACGTCTACCTCGTAAATTTCAAAAATTGTACGTCCCCTTCCCTTAAATTATAGTTTAGATTTAGATTTTATAAGATATATTTTTTGTTTTAGTGATAAAAACTAGAATATAGTTATTATAATACAGAGATGATGAAATAACGAGCATTTCGTTGTTAAAAAAATTATGACATTCTTCGATCAGTAAAATTGAAAATATTAAATTTATTTCAAAAAAAAGAAAGTTTTTAAGAGTGAAAGCCAACGAAAATGAGGCGACGAAAAAAAAATCCATAGGTGATTAAGGAAAATTTGGTTGGAAGTAGTAGAAGAAAATCTTAACCGAATGGGAGTTGTAGACTGGAGAAAATTAGCCGGGATCAAGAAACATGGAGAGATTTAGTATAAAGGGTGAAAACTCTTAGAGAGATTAAGAGTCAGATGAAGAAGAAAAATGTAAATAAAAGAACTGTAATTAGCTGTATAATACAAATAATAACTAATTTATTTTTATTTAAATTATTTTTTTCCGATTTTACTAATTGTAAAATGGCATAATTATATTAATAACACAATTCTCTTTATTTTATCATCACTATATTCCCCCTTGCAGTATCTATATTTTTCCTAGTTGGGAATCCTTATGACTCTAATATATTATGATATACTTTGAAAACGAATATCAATAATGTTGAATTATAATTTTAGACATATAAATGAATCGTTTAAAAGTCATAGCGTTTAAGTAATGGCTAGCAGATTAAAGTTCATTAAAACTATGAAATATTTAACATTTAAATTTGAAAATATATTAATAATTAATATTAAAAACATCATTCAATTATTTTTTTAAATCGATGAGTATTATAATATATTTTATGACGACTTAAGAAAAAAAAAAATTAAACATTTAAAATTGAAATATTTTTTATTTTAATTCATACCTTCTATATTTTTTGGATATTTAATTTTATTATATTTGTATCGATTTATGATTCGACTATAAATAAATAAATAGATTTATTTTTTATGCAAAATAATAAAATAATACATAAGTATAATAATAATAATTTGTTGATGGACACGTTCATTTACGTACGTTTATGGTGGAAACTATAAATTTTTTCAAAATTAAATTTTGTTTACACATCACAATATTTTTTTTAAATACAATTAATGATTATAGATAGTAGATTTTAATGTATAAATTATCTTTTTTGAATATAATTAGTATTTTTACGTAGATTATTTTTTCCACATTATCTGCCTTAAAATCTAAAATTATATTATGTGAGTATCAAACTTAAATGGGTCACACGTTTTATATTCGTTCCACATGCGATTATTTTTCATATAGAAACATTTTTTTTTTTTTTTCAATAAAAATATAGTTTGTCACTTGCATAACATAATATTATTATACTCAATGTTGTTACTAAATATTTTAAATTTATCATTAAAAGCATTAAACTCACACATTATAGTTATGTGTTATAAAAATGAGCTTTTTAACTTCTTAATATAAACTATTCGAAAAAAAATACAAACAATCGCAAGATAGCGAAGTATAATTGTATACCGAATTTACAATGACCAAACAGAATTTTTCTGTTTTTGATAAATTTTCATTTTAAATTCAAATTTATGACAAATAGAATTACATTTCAGTATAAGATCTACTTTATCGTATAACTTAATTATTATTATAAGTATTTTAGTAATATATTCCTCAGTGTTTAGAATACATTTTAAATCGGGTATTTAAAGTATTGTATAAAATATTTGAAAATTTTAATTAATTTACTTAAGGGTAGATGTTTTAAGTCACATTATCTTATTTCCATGAATATTAAAACTGCTATGATAAAAATACAATATAAATTTATTTTTTATGATGAAAATAAGTAAACCCCTTTAACTTATGGTAATAAATGTAATTCAGGAATAATTATAATATAGTAAATTCGTGTAATTCATTTTTATACTTTTTTACTGTACATTTACGAAATTTTTAAAAGGTATTTTTATATTTAATTAAAAACGAATATTTAGTTATTTTTTAAAAGACAATATTGATGTAAACTTATTGTAGCAGCTAGTAAATATATAATTTTTTAATGAAATATTGCATCAGCATTTACAGAATTTTGATTGATTAACGAATATTATGTCGATGAACTTGATGCTAATTTTAATTAAAAGTTCTGTCAGACCAATTAACTTGTTCAAAGTTGTCCCTTTTTCTCTACCACGTTGTTGTAAATAGTTAAACGAAGCAATTTTGTCTTACCTACGTTAGCGATCGGTAAAACATTTATATGAATACTCGATGACTGGTCGATTTTTTTTCTGTATAGAGAACCTAAAATTGATATGACCTACGACAAGATCCCGTCAATAATATCGTGTGTAAAGGTTACAGATTTATTAAAGTTAAAATTATTCACGTAACATCTTAAATCACACAAATTAATTTGCACGTAAAAAAAAATCCATACATAATATTTACAAACATATCTCACTAAATAGAATCTATTAATTCTAATTTTTTTTTTTTGTGAATACATAAATATTTTATCTTCTTTGTTTTTTTCCGTATAATTTATATTATGATGTAATATATTTATTTTATAATATATATAATAATACATAATATTTTTAAGTATATAATAAAAAATTGGTATTAAATAATTACAATCTAATAAAATTGGAACCATTGATTGAACATTTTATTACTCATTTATATCGAAATATTCGATTTTATAAAACGATTAGAATTGCCCACTTGTTCCATTTATAATCATAAAGATCTGTTTTAATACTAATAAAAAATAAAGTCATAAAAAATGATTACAATAACATTATTAAAAAATTTAGATACTCTTAATTTTGATAAAAATCTGATAATCAAATCACACGTTAACCACAGTGTAAACTTTTTGAATGCTATGTGAAGGTTTTTTAAGTAGCAATTTTGCACCAAAACATTTTTTTTTTTTTTTTTATTTCGTTGTATTTTTTTATCCACTTGTTAGGATAGTGGAACATTTTGTTGGGATAGTATATTAAGTGTTATGCGTTTAATCCTCAAGTGAAACGTGTCGATTTTATTCGATAATTTATCGATTATCTCGTTATTTCTGCGTTTTTGGATGAAAAAAATTTTCTTCGCAAAAAAATAATTTTATTATTTATTCATTTTAATGTTTTAGAAATTAAAACTTGTAAAATCAAAATTATAGCATGCTCGTACATCACAAAATCCAATTAAATTTACGTCCGACCGGGTACCTTCACGTCCGTGTAGAATAATTTTGTATAAACGATTTGTTGAATCACATACATATAGTGCAGTATGCCTAATATTTGTTAAACAAATGCAAGGCTACTACTGTTCTAACAATGGTGCATGTATATTTTTTTGTTCCGTGGCTTATAACCAGTTGGATATAGTTTAATGTGAATTATATAATATTTAACCTAGGGAAAATACTTAATTTGATTATGTATTATATATGAAATTGTTATAATCGAAAATCTATATTTAATTTTATTTCGTTTGGCTAGTAACAAGAAATTCGGTTTTTGGAGTAATAATTTAATTGAGCTTAAGTTCTCAAAAGTCTAAGCATAGAACCACAGCTTTTCCAGAAAAATATTTACTTCCACTGTGCACGTAATTACAGTGAAAGTTTCACAATGTTTACTAAATTGTATTTATTGTTTATATAGCTGCTTAAATGTCTGCATCAATGTTCGTGTGAATTACAAAATGTGTTTAGACCTAAACACATTTAACCACAGGTGTAATATTTATTTAAATTGATGTGTTGTGGATTTATCAGGAGGCTCATGTGATTCGGAGAACGAGTCTAATTTTGTCTGATATCAGGATTTTCCTAGCTCTAAAATATTACTAATGGAATAACGGAAATAATTAAATAATGAAGGCGATTTGAAACGATATCTGACAACATTTTATAAAAACTAAAGTTTAATGACTATCTCGAGTTCAATCTCCAGAGATTTTGAAACAACAAATCATTTTTATAGTACGTAAAATTAACAATTGAAGGGAACAATAGCAGAGGGCGACCGCCATTGGACTACATTAGTCAAATATTAAGAAATATGGACTGCAGATCATATTGCGAATTGAAAAGGAAAGCGGAGAAGCGTCAAGAGTGGAGAATTACTGCCAACCAGCCCTTGGGCTGTTAACAAAAAAAAAAAAAAAAAAAATTAACAAATAAAATAAACGCTGTCAAATACAAATAAATTGAAACGAACGGGATGTGAAATAAGTCCGTATACGAAATAGCCAGGATTTCGAATGTCAAATCTCAGAATTCCTTGAATTCGGGACGGTAAAAATATCAACGTGCACGCAGTTTACGCGTACATGTAAATCGATTAAAAACGAAAAGTTGTACGTATTCTGTACGGTACGGGAGTATTGTTTTCTGTCGTCAAAAATAAAAAGGATGCACAAAGTACAGATATCTGTTAGGGTGGTGCCCCTTGAGCTCCATGTGATATCTTTGAACTTTTGGTTTTAAAATATATAAGTTCTCCCCTCCCATCGGTTTCTGCCACTCCAGAAAATTTTTCACCGAGTTACGTAACAGCTCACCCTTGCAGGAACCTGAGGAACGTGACGGTCATCCAACTGTCGTATTGGATGGCCGCGACTGGGACCAAGGCTGCGGTGACCGCGGTGACGGCCACGCACCACAATAATATAGACCGCTCGTGGCCCATGCTCGAGTAGACGCCAACGGGAAACGCAGACACTAGCGTGCCGATGAAGTACGCGCCCATGGCGGCTGCCTGCTGCCGTGGTGTCCAGTTCAGCCGTTTGGCCACGCCAACCGTCGAGTTCTGGCTCACCTGGACCTCAGCGTCCGGACACGGTTCCCGGTCAGCCGGCCCGGCAACCAGTGGCTCGACCATCATCACCATCATCGAGTACGTAAAGTGCAACCGGGTGGTCAACAGGAACGCGTATGCCACAAACACCATCGTCAGCCAGGCCTTTGTCGCGCAACACTGCTCGTTTTCCGAAACCAGTGCACGGTTAGTAAGTTTATGACAATAGCAATAGTTTTATAGACGCCCTTAAGGGGAAAACATTCAAGCGAATGTTACGTTGTAACGTATTAGTTAATTGTGCGTGTCAACTTAAGAATTTTTTTTTTTGTAAATAATTTAGCCCTCTATTTGAAACTGTCTTCGTTACACGGAAAAGTCGAATCATATTATATAGTATATTATAAATTTATGATTTTGGGGTCACTGTTAATTGCAGTCCGTTTTTATGTTCCATTATACTTCATCAGTTATAAATCAGAACCAAAGTTCTTACCATCAAGCTCACCCTCACTTCCACCGAACGACAATCATAATTTTACGTGAAATTCATGACCAGAAAAGAGAATAGTGCACCCGGATCAGAAACATATATATTATAAAATAAAATAAAATAATACGAGTATAACATAATATTATTATTGAGTATAATAATATGATTAATTCTTATTACAATGAGAACAATTTATATATCTTAAGTTAAACGTAAATTGCCGAAGTTTAGATTCGATATAAAATTTAAAGTCGAAATAATCCTTGTCGTTGCAAACCTGAAACTTATGACTTCGTTAAAATAACAGTAGATTTCGTGGAATAACTCATAAGAGTTTATTTTATACTTGCAGTATGATAGGTTGAAACCAACCGATTTCTTTTAATATTTCGAGACATATAATGAAACATTTTAAGTAAAAATGATCGTTGAATTTACGACTAGAAGAAATACATGAAATATTTATTTATACGTTTTAAATCAGGTGTGATACTGTAGTGATGAAATCAAAAATGATTAATAATTTGACTAAGTTAGATAACATTAGTCGGCTAATATTTATATAGATGAAAAGATATAACATTTTTTAGCGATAATGTAATTACACACATACTAGGTTTGGCGACTTGCATATTTTTAAAAATACTAATTAGAAACTTAATAAGTTTGTTATTAGAAACATTTTTTATAAAAATACAGAAAAACCCTAAACTACTACACTTGTTGGTTCCTTAGAATCAAAAACATTATCCTTTAGTGAGTTCTAAAATAGTTTATCTAAAATAGTGATCTAGATATAGAGCGTATATTTTATCTCAAGATTCTTAACAGAAATATTTTTATTTTGAGAAAACAAAATAATGGTTTTAATTTATAATTTAAGAAATTATAAATTATTCTAGGATACAAAATATATTATTTGGTTAGAAAAAGTAATTAGTTGAAGTCTTCAATAGATTTTGAAAGTAAATAGAATCTTCTTAGATATAATACAACAGATTTATTATTATTATTATTATTTTTTTTTTTTATAAACTATTTACAATCTATTCTAATTTAGAACAATGTTCACAAAAATGAGAGGAGAGGAGTTACACGTGAGGATTTTGAGGAAAGAAGCCACCCATTAGCGACTCTACTTATCTTGAGTTTTGCTTTATATATTAATTAAAACATAAAAAGTAATTTATAGTTTAATTATTATTTAAAAATCGCGGCAACATTTCCACTTTAGTCGTACAGGGAAATTACCTGGATTGGATAAGGTTGATAGATTTTTTATAAGAAAGTTAGAATTAAAAGTTAGTTTGTTATAAAATCTTTTATAGAACATTTTTTCTTCCTTAAGTACTGGCTTGATGGTTTTTAAGTCATTGTGGAATGTAAGATTAGAAATATAAGGAGGAGCGTTAATTATTTTTTCTAGGGGAATATTTTGAATTTTTTGAATTTTTTAAATGTTTAATTTTTTTGCACTAACCCAGAGTCACATAAGTCCAGAAAAATTTTAGAAAGGTTTTCTATACTAACAATTTAATTTTAGGTTCATATGTGTATTTCTAAATAGTAGCATGAGTAGGCGAATATTTAGTTGCAGTTTTTTTGATTTTATGTGTTTGGGCCATGTTCGGTGATTATCTAATAGAAGTCCCGCATTAATATTAGTTTTAAATAATAACATTTATAGAAAATCATTTAAATTATATTATTAAATATAATTCCGATAGTTAAAGACCATATATTTTTACTTTCCTGTCTTAGATTACAATTGAATCATTTTATTATTAATATAAAATTAATGTGATTGTATGAATTAGAAACCTATTTTTTTTTACAAGAAAACTTTGGTAAAAAATTAATATTTTTTTCGACATTTTTAGTATACCGTGAGTTTTTGAACAATTTTAATTTGTATATTTTTTTTTACCTATTGCATAAAAATATGTTTGTATGTTTTCCTCTTTATTACTAATAAAAAAAAAAAAAAAAATAAATAATATGTTAATGTAAAGTTTCTATAGGAAATTACAGTTAAATTATTTTACAGTTGTTATACACATAAAAAATGAATGAGTATATTTTAACGTATAGCCAACATTGGTTCTACGACATTTTAGTGCAATTTTTTAAGCGCACGACAAAATTTGATTCAATCAACGTATACATTTTACCGTGCCACAATTTATTTAGCGCATTCCACATTTTGGTAAACGAAAATATAACTTTAGAATGACTGAACACAAGGTAAATAAGTTTCAAATTAAATACATAATGTACTAAATACTAAATACAAGAAACCAAATTAAAACTGTTTTAATATTATACTGGTATTTAGGACCAACAAAGCATAGTCGTATAATTTCAATAAAAATATAAAATAAACATGTAGATTATTTTATTTTATTCTTAAATTTCAAAAAAACCAAATTATTTTGAAAAAGAATACATCTCAGATAATTATAAATAAAATTTATAAGTAGTAGAAAAATCTTTTTTTCCAATTAAAATTGTGGGCCGACCTTGTAAGTATTCATTGAGTAATATGTTTTCAACATCTTATACATAATATGTATTATATTCCTTATAGTATTAATCATAATATTCTTTTTATTGTGTTTGTATACCTACTCTTTTCTTATAATACATAACTGGAAATTATTTGTTCAATAACCATTTCCAAATTATTTTATTTTCTCCCCGTCTGTTCTATCTATAACTGTAATTGTTAAAGACTTCTTTTTTTGTCTTGTATTATATTATAAAGACATTTCTTTATTTTAAAAAAAGTAATTTTTAAAAATGATTGAATAAAGACTCGATCATGTCAAAATTCTACCGTGATTTTACCTGTCAGTCCCTTATGTCCCTTATAATCGCAAATACAATCATGGATCAAGATACCCGCATTGTTGAGAGTATAGAAAAACTAAACTTGCATCCCAGTGATTAGTTTATGTGTATGAATGTATCGTATATCGTTTATCTACTGTAATACCAATAATATGTCGCAAGCACACAAATTATATTAAAATAACAACTGCTGTTCTGATAATATTCAATATTCCGTAAGACCTAGTTTGAATTTAGCTTAAAAGTAATATTTTCCGCACTAAATTGTTGAACAAAAAAATGTCACATGTGCTGAATTATCCTGCGCTAAAATTTTTGAACTGCATTTTCATATACTAAAATATTATAAAATACATCATCAAGATTAAACTAGACAACTATCTAACCAGTGGTGGTAGTTTTTACAATCGTAAAACATATGTGTGTCATCCACCTTGATAAATATGTTTGATTATTTACCTTCAACTAGGAACATGGTTATTCGTTTTTATTTTAAGTTATTTTAAGTAAATGTAATATTGATTTTATGTGTAACGCAATAACACAATTATTTATCTACAATTATACTTCCTTTTTACTATACTGTGCACGTTTATTGTTCCGAAAGAACATTAAATTATAAATAAATATAAATGTGAAGTAGTGCACTTGAAATAAAATAAAAGTATCCAATACCGGTACGTGTAGAAGATGATAAAGTGCCCAAGTTGAGTAAATGTAAACAATATAAAATCTACCCATCAGATGTCGCATAACAAAAAGCCCTAACTCTTTATGGTTTATATTATATATTTCACCGTTGGGTCGTGTTGACAATTTTAATATTAATTTAACCATGTAACTTTTCATAAACTAATTAATTTGGTAACAATTGGAATAATTGTTTCAAATAAAATTTAGTGTATTATCTTACACATTGAATATCATAATTTATATAATATAAAAGTAGTAGTAGTAATTATGTATTGCATAATTAAATGAATTCATGGGCTATGTTAATGGTATCTTACAGTTATATGGGTGTCCAAAAATGTATTGGTCAATGTAAACGTCGTGTAAAAGATACGCAAAGAACTGAAACGAAATTTAAGATAAAATTCGGTTCAGGTGACGGTTTTTCGTAGGGAGGGAATCATGGGGGTCTGTACACACTCCTGAGTTTAGACTGTTATATATTATTAATTTGAGACCTTCGGCTTTAAAATATGTAATGTTTTTTAGGTTAGTATAAGAATTTAATTTTAATAATAAATTATTAAAGGGTTACAAATTTTATTTAAGGTGTTAAGATAATATTAAAGGACTCCCCCTGTTGAAAATAATCTAAAAACCACCACTGATTTTGTTCATTAGTCATATCGTCAAGATACACATCTATTTACTACTGGCTTGTATTTAAACTAATATAATATTAAGCATTTGTTTTATTAAAATGTTAATAAACCAAAGCTTCTTTACATTGAGCAACGTGAATGATGCATTTATAGATACAGTTAAATGTACGAGTATAACATAATACAATTGCATGAATTATTTAAAAAAAAATAAGTTTTATATGAGATGTGAGTGCTTTTATTTAAATTGTAGATTTCTGGTAATTTATTTCAGGGCAATTCTATTTTATTTGTTTAACATTTCAACTATCTACTTGTATTATTTTTTCTAAAATCTAACGACTCGTGAGTTATGATGATATCATGATTATTTATATTAATTTTTGTACTCAGGGGAATGAGTAATTTTTGGTTATAAGACTTCTAGTATTATATATTATAAGCAAACGATAGTAATCATGATTAAACGATTCGAACATTCGATAACCATATGTGTACATACGGTGATGTCTTTTTAAATATATAATAAATCTGTTTTTTTTTTTTTTTTATATTATTTGATTACATTTACGATAAATAAATAAATTAATGAGGTTTCATTTACATAATATGGTCATTGAGTTACTGACTTGGAAAAAAAAAATTAGATAAATATTTTTAATTTATTTTTATCAACAAGTACGATACCTGAAAATATGTGTGTTCTACAATATCACGTATTATAATTATATTATGTTAAAAATACTGCACTCAAAGGGCAAATTCATTGGGGATTAATAAAGATTTTTCACGAGACTTAGTTTAATGTTCATATTTTTTTACATCATTGGTCGAAAACTCGGACCATGGAAACTATTCCGTTTTTAAATGTTTATTTTACATGAACGGGGTTTGCATTACCATCTTTTAGAAGTTTCGTTATAAATATAGACAGTTACGTAATATTATACTAATATGTTTTCTTAAGTAAGAAATACATGCCAGTTTTCTTGTGATTTTGTGTTATTATGCTATTAAACTTTAAGTCTTATGGGATAATTTAAAATTGAACTACGCGAATTCATGAAATTAAATCATTAGATACTTGTATTGTCATATTTTTATAAAGTTATTCCGTTTTATATTTTTGAACATCTAAAAAAAATTGTATGAATATAATAACAATATTTGTTTAGTTTAAGCAATTTAATCAAACTTTAATAAAAGTTATGTCAAAGTTTAAGTTTGCTTATGTTCTTGAATACTTGATAAGTATTTTATTCGATCATTCGTTGTAAAGTGATGATAATAATTTGATATGAAATGAGAGGAAAATAAATGGTATCTTAATTATAAATACTTAACAATTAGAATGATAAATATTCTCAATAAAGTATACTTTTTAACCCATATTAATGTACCTCATTATGAGTACGTGAAATATTGAAATAAAGATGCTACATGTATTACGAGACAAGAGTTTATTATTAATTTAAATTAATAATAAATTCTTGTCTTCATTTTAATGGTTTAATCCATTAAAATTAAATTTAAATCTCAATATAATGCTTAATTAAAATTGTATTACGTTTAATTTTGTACCGTTTATTAATATATATATATATATGATTTTATAGTGAAAAAAATAAGGTATTATTAGTATTTTTAATATACTAAACGAAAACGTAGCTTATATATTAGATATTAAATAAACAATACTTAAAATAATTTAAAAAAAATAACTAATAATACTTAAATTTAACACACATTTAAATTAATTAATGACTTTTAACTTACCATGTTTAATAACTATTGGCTATTTAGTAATGAAATAATTTTTATCATAAACACCTAAAAATAAAAAATAAATAATTTATAGATAACTTATTTTACTCATGAATAAATAACTAAAATATGTTTCCTATGGATACTAATTTGTATGTTATATCAATTTCGATAAATATTTTACAATTAAAAATATGTAAATTATCACTGCATATAATAAAATTTATAATTCTGTAGAAAAATTAATGTTTTTAATTATACCTTGATTTTTAAACTACTAAGTAGCTATGAATAATATTTTGATTGATAATTTTAGGAAGAAACCAAAATGCAATAATCTATGGCGTATCCGTTAGTGTACTTTTTTGTTTAATTATATTACTTCCATTTATTATTTTTTATGTTCAAATTGTTAATATGAAATTATTTAATTTAGTTTAGAGTAAATTGTTTATTTTAAATAAATAAATTTGATATTAGTAAAACAACGTTAATATTTTTATCTTAAATTATTATACTTTGATGTGCGATTTTTGTCTAATTTTATTTCAAATGAACTACTAAAAAGACCTTTTTTAAATATATAAATGTATATTTAGTATGAAAAATATTTTTATAATATACTTATATCAGAAAAAACTTTCTTAAATAGTCTGTAGTATATTTGTTTATCACATAACTATACTAGTACTCAATGATATTAACGAAACAATTTAATTTAAACGAACATACTTATTTATTGTTAATTATAAAAATAAGACAAACCTAAGTTGTGATCCAATATTAAATAATATTAAAATGTATTATTTATATTGAAAAAATATCATAATTACCAAGTATAAACAACTGTTCGTCATGGAGTTGAATTGTATACTAAATTTAGAGTTTGTTTAAAATCACTAACGATCATTCGGATCAAAAATTAATTTTATATGTTGGGATTTCTATTATATTTGATTGTAATTATTAAAGCCAAAGTAATTTAAAGAACGTGTAATAAGTAGACACCATGGCATGTAGTGTGTTTGTGCTCGAGTTTATAAGAAACATATGTTTATAATTGTCTTTCTTACTCTTTTCATCATAAAATAATGAGCAAAACTAAAACGAATTACGTTCTTTTAAAAAATTAGCATACTCGAAATTATTTTAAAAGTACAAAACCAAACTTTTATTTAGAATATTTCTTTATACATGAAAATTTAAGTCTCTTTAAATCTCTAATTCACCTTCCTTCATTAAAATTCTTTTACAATATTTGAGCATAATTCTTATATATAATATAAAAAAAGACGTTTGTTTACTTTGGTTATTGAATATATAGTCGATTTTATATTTATATTATTGGTCTATTTTAATTTTATGTTTAAATGATTATTACTATTTTATTTAAGACAATAAGGAAATCATTATATTAATTTTATTATAATGTATTCAGAATTCAAAAGTCAACAATGAAAAAGGGTATCATTTACACCTAATGACGTATATCTAATTCCCGTATTTTTTTCAGATGTATGAAATGATAATTATAAATGTACGGAACAAAAATTTAAAATAGAATATTGAAAACAGTCCATTAATTTGGGTCATATATCCATTTGTGTATGGATTTTTTTAAACAAAATTAACTTTTTATAATTTTTTCAACTATTTTCGAAAATTGAACTAAAAGTTTTATTTCAAAGTATTTTTATGAAAATATATTGCAAGTCATAAATCAATTTCTTGTAAGCTTATATTTTATAATATTTTAACGTAAACTCTGAATTATTCATAAACTCCAAATGAGCTTTACTTAGAATCATTTTTTTTTTTTTTTTGAATTTGATGATTTATAATTTTCAAATAATGACAACACGTCTTGAACACTTAGTGTGACCATAAATATTATAACAAGCGTAGTGTAATTCTTGATATTTCGAAATAAATGAAATTTATTAGAATAGTCTCTAAAAAATTGTTAAATTAAGTTTTATTTGATTATTTAATTTTTCCTAAAAGTAACCGTTAACAAATGTTCTTCTAGTTTCATATATTTTTATACCTTGATAAACTTAGTTTTAAAAATTACACTCATATCGTTATGATCAAAATACTTATAAAAAAAAAAAAAAAGAAAAACACTAAAAATTACGTAATAAATTATTTATAACGACGAAATAGGAATGATGAAAAACTTGAAGTTTTATATAAACTACAAAAAACACAAAAAGTATTAAAGTACTTGCAATATCAAATAACTCCTCGTGATGAAAATTCTAATCGATTTCTTAATAAAATAATTATTAACTACCATTGTATAACACAATGTTGTCTATCGATTTTCATAATTATATGGTTCTGTATCAAAATTTAATAATTGTTAAATATTTCTTACTTATTTTTGTATTTTACAATTAACTGATTCTATCGACGTGCTGAATCATACTGTATGGAGACTAGTTGATCGTTGTGTATGGTAATTATAAACAATTTTTACTCTCTTTAACGAATTATGATATATTTTTTTTAAATAAAATAGAATTGCTAATGTTTACAAATAAATACTACGTCACAATTTTTTCGCATAAAATCTTCTTGAAACTTTTAATTTCAGATATTCTAGTATAGGTATTTGTTATAATTTTTTGTAAGTTTTTATTAGAATTTTCAATTTGTCTTTTTACTCTTTTCTAGGTTTGTTTACACCATTTATTTAAAATTACTTTAGTTTTTGTATTAATTTCAATTCAGATTTTTAACAATATATTAAAAACTTCACGAATAAAATGATACGAAGTGTAAAATTATAGTTATAAATTATAATATTAGTAGAATGATTCTGGTATATTGTGGTTCTAGTCTCTTCTGAAGATTTACCGGTCTATAAAATTGGTGGGAAATTTGAATTAGGACATACATAATTGTAAAACATAATCAAAGTTATTGGTTGAAGCATTTTCAATTGAACACGAAAAGGCATCGTTGACTAAATTTTCGAGTAAAAGGTTAAGAGTGAAAAAAACCTTTTAAAGAAACAATTATTTCCGATTTTTAATTGTATTTTATAATAAGTTTCTTTTGCTTTAGATTTTTCTAAAACACCCATGTTTATCATTTTTAAAAATAATTTTGTAATCGTACGTCACATATATTTATAAACTTCGGTTATTTTTAACAATTATTATTATTAACGTCAAAAATAGTATATTCAAGGAGTAAATATATTTTCATGGTGAATGTGTCACTGAGAAAGTGTTATAACACATATATTTCATTGAATGCAATCGCATTTCAGTCCATCTGTATACCCTCATAGTCAAATGACAACCGTTTTTATATGGCTACTTTTATTATTATTTATTAGTATTTTATTTTGTTTAGTTTACACTCAATCATTGAATCTCAATGTCTTCTAACGTTTTACTTTTCGATTATTTAATTTAATATTCTGTTTTTGTTATAAATAAATGCCTTGACGCTGAAATTAAACACCAAATAAATATTAACGTGAGTTAACATTGCGTCTTCTATGTATTATTTTAGATTTTCCCTGAATTGTAGTTCGGTTCAACTTTAGACCGTCAAAGATCTCCGTAGACAACTGTAATACCGGTTACTGGAGAATTTGATAAACGTGTAACAAACACTGATTCGTTAATTATTTTATTTTTATAAGCATGGTCCCTTTGTCGTTTCATAACGTTCGCTTCAGTTTATCTTGGTTGGTTGTCTCTACGAGCATAGCATTTAATTCGGTTTGTTTAATCCATTTTGGTTTTTGTTTGGCATATTATTGTTGTATACGACGAATTGGTATCATGGCCTGCTGTTATTTCCTCTGTTGTCTGATATATTATTTTACTATGCTTCAACGTTCATTCCTATCAGTAATTTTTGATTGCGATCGATGTTGGAAATTATTTTATTTGCAGTGTTATAGAATTCTGAACGATGGTCAATGATTTTTGATAGTAAATTGGCACCAAAAGTTATACATTAAAATATTGTATATGAAATATTGAACACGGATGGATATATAATATAATATTTGGATTAGATAAATAAAAAAATATGTTATGTTAGATTCCGTTCAGTAATTATTAATTTGTGCATTTTTTTATTTATATCTTTCACATTTCTTTTTTTTTGCAAGAATTACTATAATGATTAATCAGATTGTATTTAAAAGTTGGAAGACCAAGACCATTTTTTAAAGTGATGATTTCAAAATATTTTCTTAATATGTGACATGTCTTCGAATATATTTTTATTTTATTACTCTATATGTATTGCCAGTAAAAGTTATGGGAAAAATATTGATAGTTAATTGTAATTATTTATAAAATTAAATTGTATTGTATATATCTTATACAAATAAGTTCAAAGTAAGTTAAAGTAAAAATGGTAATGTTGCTTTCATAAATAATTATATTATATTAGTATGTATAAAATTCATACCGAATACTTCGTTCTCTCGAATCTTACTTCAACACTTTCAATACTAAAATATTTATCATCATATTTAATCGTTTAAATTTTAAACTTATTTACATTATTAAAAATAAACATTTTACATTTTTCATACGATTATAAAGTTTTTAATTTTCTTAACTCGTCTTAATTCGTTTTCAAGACTGTTATTTTGTACGCTGCGATACAGCGAGTAGATTTATTTCACTGCAAAAGTCTCTATACATTCGAAATAACGTGTTTACTCATTATAATATTTTCAAAGGACACATTTTAATAGAAATGTGTATCGTACCGTGGAATATAATCTAAATTAATGTGGACATGATTATGTCAAAAAAATTGTTTAAGTACATATGTGTTATGTGTATTGTATAATATATACATACATGTATATTACATATATATTTTAGTAATATTTTTTGTGTATGTCAATGTCAGACTTTTAAAATATTTTGACAACATACACTTCAGGCTTTCATTAATCATAATTATAGTTTTACAATCGAGTTTTTTATAAATTAAGATACGAAGAAGTTGAAAAATTGTTTGTTTTAATTTTGATTTGTGTTTAAAAATATTTGTTTAACAACATTTTCATCATTATTAAATATTAATATTCTACAGAATAATATTATTCAAATAATATAGTGTAAATACAGTAGAATATAGGTAACTCGACCGTTCGCTAATTCGAGAAGTCCAGTAGTCCGGCTGTATTATATTTTTATTTTTTTCGATAAAATAACTTTAAAATTATTACAGTTAAAAACATAACTAATTAAATCCAAACGAACTTTATTGGATTGATGAAGTTATAAGTACGTTACACAACTTGCTATCAATATGTAATTTATGCATGAGAAATAAAAACAAAATACAAAATTCTTCTCCCAAAAAAATATTTTTTAGGGATTTCCTTACTTTCTAAATTTAATTTTTTCCTGTCAGGAATATTATTATAAAATAAATTACAACTTATTTAAAATATTATGGCCTACCTAATTAGATTTTCATGAGAGCTCTGTGGTAAAAATATAAAAGTTGTATTGAAAACGCTGTTTTATGCACAATATAACAACGTATTATTAAAAAGTACTTATTACATTTCATTATAAATAATAAATACATATAATTTTAAATAAAACTCTTAACTTCTAACTTTTTATAGCAAACCGGTATGAAAATATAATATGAATCGTTATTTTATTTTTGATATATATGTAATTAGTTAATATTTTTCTTTTCAAAAGATTTTTGTACAAAAATAAATATATCAACATTTATATGTTAATGAAATACATTAAATTCAAATAAAATGTCGATTATTGTTAAGGAAAATAGTGGATGGAGATAAAGATGTCTCTATTACTGACGTTTAAATATTTAATAGTGGCTTAAAAATTTTATTAAATTATTTAATATTAATTGGATAAATATATTTTTATTCGTATTAAACCCAATATTATTAACAATGAGCACGTGTGTTACGATACATTTTTATATTCTAAATGAAACGAGGAATGTATTAGTTTTATCACGATGTGTTAATATTTTTATTATTATTATTTTTTGATTTATTTTTAATTATTACGACTATTGTTTTGATGTTATATGTTTAATTTATTTATTTACTTATTATTCTATTTTATAATAATTATTATTATTTGTATTATTGATAAGCTGAAAAATGTCATAGGCATAAATAAATAAATATTTATATAATATGTAGTTATTTAAATATTGATGAAACGATAAAAATTTCGAAAACCCACTACATTTTTATAGCCAGATATTCGTAAAATTTTCAATCTTATACATAAGGTTTTAAATTAAATATAAGATTTTTCAAATGATTATTTTAGTAGCAAAAAAAAAAAAAACATTTGAAAGTTACAAAAATGATTTATAAACATTACAAAATGAACTAGATTGTATTAACAAATTTTCTTTAAACAATATTAGTATTTTAGTTTTAATACAAAGTGCGGCATAAGTCGGTTTCCGCAGTCTTGTTATCAAAAAATTGCTTATTATTATAATTAATAATCAGTTATATAATAATTATTGCGATTATCACTTATAACAATAGCAGCAAGTATTATTAGTTAAATTAATTGATCTTTAGGAAAAACTAGTGTGTTGTACGGACGTGTGGTGTGTGCGTGTAATTTACTATTTGTGATTTATTATTTTTACTATTTAATTTTATTAATTTACTCGCTATTAACATGGTTGTCGGTAACACGGTAAGTTTGCAAAAGAATAGTGAACTTTTTTACTAGTTTCGTAGCTGCAATTGGATGCCGACTATGCCAAATTTTTTACTAATTTTCAGTACTTTACAGCCGAATCACCTGTACCTTCTCGTGGTAATGTGACAAAAATGTACAATAAGTTTCTTCAAACGGGTTCTGTAGCAGACGCATCGCGACTAATTACAGCTACTACACCTGAAATCATGGAGATAATTGCGTTATTGCTTGCCTTTTTCAATCAACCTTTTTTGTAAATATAAACTGGTTCACTCCACAATTTTTATTCAGAATCGCTTTTTATTTCAAGGGTAATGGTATATTGGTTTCAAATTTGAAAGACCAATATTATTTACACATACTTATATTTCACCAATCATGGTACGACCTCACTAAATAGTCTTGCTCTTTTTTATACTATGTTTTCAACCGTTGTCGAAAATTGTACATTAAGAATAATAACGTAACTCCAAATAATTTAATTAAAACAATGTGATGGTTTGGTCTGACATCCCTTCACTTATTACAGTATCATAAAAAAAAAAAAAAAAATTAATGAATTATTACTGTCGAGTATAACAACTGTTAAATTGTACGACAAATATTTATATAACATTTTATTTCTTTTTCAGTATTTATTAGTATCATTTATGATCCATATTAATATTTTCATTCATATCATTATTGCATAATTTCATGTTAAAAATTATACATAGTTAAAGATAAAAAAAGAACTCGTGCATAACTATTCAAGATACTTTTGGAAGTAAGTATCTTAATTCACTCAACACAGTTAAATATTTATTTTCATTTAATCAAATTGATCTATATTTTAGTCCATTGATACGATTGAAGTATGTATTGTTTTTCATAACTTTAGCTCAATGTGTAATGAGTAAAATTATTTTTAATAAGAAACAAAATATGAAATAATAATATGACTACAAAAAAAATATATCATTGTCATTAATTCAGTATACATATAAAGTACATGCTATAAATGTATTTAATTTGTTTGTTTCTTATTAAAAGTAATTTTGTTTCTTACACAATGAGCTAAAAATATGATAAACAATAAATAATTCAAGTGAACTTATTATCTTACATAGATTAAAATCAAAGACCAATTTTTTATTATATCTTATGTGAATTATATGCAATATCAACAATATAAACATTAGGTACATTAATTTTACAGACGTGTGAGGAATAATGCAGTGATAGTATATATAGAATCCTAATCTGATGTCATAGATTGTCAAAACAATGGAATTTAATACTTCTACACGCATGGTTTATGTAAAATATTTTGTGTGTTTATGTGTGGATGAGAATGTGTTTGTGTGTGTGTGTTTGAGGATACGGAAGTATGTAATGGTATATGATTTTCCAGAATAAAATATAGTTGAATTATTATTGCAGCATGTGTTGTTTTCAGACGTTCAGAGAATCTATACTTTTTTTTCTTTGATTTCTTAAGTTATAAAACACGCTTTTCTAGAGAACAATAAAAAGGTTGGCCAACATATACACACGAAAAAATAATAATAAAATACGTTTGTCTTCAAAACATAACTTTATATTGAGTCACTTGTATTTTTTATGGTTCAGATTTATAAATGCAAGTTTTTTTAGATAAATTATATATTAAATATTTAAATACGAGTAATTTAGAATATTCATACATTAGTTTGTATATTTTGATCATCTGCGTAAGCATATAAATATATACGTTATTTGTATCTATTTATATATTATTATTGACTGACATTGCCTAGATATTTTAATATTTCTATAGAAAAATTAATAACTTATGTTTTCATTGATTTTTCTACAAAAAATATTGAAATTCATGTATTTTTACTGTAGTACTAGTTGACCCGACAAACGTTGTTTTGTCATATAAATTATTTCTAGAAAATATTTTGTTAAAAAAAAATAATTAATTTAATATAGGCGTGAAAGGATGTGGTATATAAGTGGAACAGGTATGGATTGCTGTGAATGGTGACGAAAAATAAAGATGAAAAAACATCTAACATTTATTTTTTTAATAATTTATTAAAATTGATCCACTAAAATTATATATATTGCTAATTTTGACAATATTAGTAAAAAAAAAATATCAATCCCTTAATGCGACAGAATATACAATATTTTTCGTGATCCCATCTTTCGCCAACACAAACAAACTGGATGGTTCGAGAGCACGCCACGTATAATTGTCCGTGTGAAAAACATGATGTGCTCAAATCTTAGTGACAGACATTGTTTGGCCTTGAGACTTATTGATAGTCATTACAAATGCCAAGTTAATTGGAAATTGAAAGCGTATAAATTGTATTGACACATTTGTGGTTATAATAGAGATCACGGTAATAATCTATTGAATCGCAAGTATCGCAATCTTTCGGTCTCTATATTTACATAGATGTCAACCATGAATTGTTCTTAAAGCTCATGACATCGTACAATAACTTAATCCTGATCGCATCTAATCATTAACCGATATGCATAATAAGCCTTCGAACTAACATTCTTGATTGTTTGGGCACCTGTTGTGGGATCTTTTTGTTTAATATTTATGCAATACTCATCATTTAATACCCAAAATAAAATTAATAGCTTTTAAATAGATTTTAATGGTTTTTTAATAGTTTTTTAATAATATCATTTAATAATTCATTTTCAATTGCACAGTTATCGACCGGATCAAAAATTAATAAATTTAACTACGATTTACTAAACAATAACACTTAGGAGTATAAATAATAGATAAAAACCTATTCGCAGATCTACCAAATGTACCTGCATACAAAATTTTATTAAAATCAGTTAAGGTACTTTGAAGGAGTATGGTCACAAACACTGAGACATAAGATTTATATATAAATATATATATATATATATATATTTAATATATTTATGAGTATTTAAGTATTTTAAGCATTTATATTTTTATATTTTTAATTATTTATACATTATTTTAAGTATTTTGAAACACAATGTTTTGTAAATATTTAACTGTATTGATGAAACAAAAGTATCCCATACATGGAAAAACAATGTATCATTATCCATAAAATCTGATAAACTAATGCATTTAGCAGTTTCAATAAAAATTTAATGTTATTTTTGTACATCATTACAAGTACAACTGTTGATAAAAAAAATAATATCTTCAAGTATTTTATGAAAATAGAAAAAACCCTCCTTGAAGTGAAGTTTGAAATTAAAGATAATTTTTTAATCTATCTTTAGAAAATAAATAGTCTTAGCTGATTTATGTAATTTTTATCTTTTACTGAAAAACAAGATAATTTTACAATTCAAAAATAAAATAGTTTATTGTTGGTAAAACGGTGTCATCTCCACACATTTCCAACTAAAATTGCATTACAACTATGACAGTAATACTATTATCATTCTAAGTACCTTTTATACATTTTGTATATATAAGTTATATACTAGGTATTTTTACTTACAAGTACAACATTTGCGTAGTCTGATAGTCATATACTTTTAATAACATAAGAAAAACGGTGTTTATTTTATAAATACTTAATTCAGCCGGATTTCTAAGGTTTTGTTATTAATTTTGTGATTTTCGAAATTTGAACAAATATCTATTTCCCACTTTTCCAGCTTGTGATAAATTAATAGATGCTTCATTTATATGTTTTATTTTTATAAGTTTTAAACGAAAACGAAATTTTTGGATTATAATACGATCATTTCGTCTATTCTTTAATAATTAGGTATATATGTATGTTGATTTTCTATATTCGTGTTCTGTGTTACATTTTCGTCTGTTAGTTTTTCCTAAGACTTTTCTGTTTTAAAAAAGCAGGGTTTTCACTCCATAAAAATGTATAAGTAAAATAAATCGTTTTTATCATACATAGACACTAGAACTTTTCTGAGCATAGAATAGCGAAAATTTTACAAGAGACTTGTCAGTTGGATTATTATCAAACAACAGAAGGTAGACAATGACGAGGCTATTAATCAACTAACCAAAAACGGACTCAATGGAAGGTGAACACATTAATTATATTGCATTTTGAAATTAATTTGCCTTTTAAAGTCAAAAATGGTTTACAAATACTCAACGTGGATCGAACCTGGTTAATAACGCTGTTCGAGGTATATTTTAATATTATTAGAAATTATAAATACATAATACGTTAAACTGTTATTTATGGTGCGCAATATATTTAATTACCCGTTATTTGACATGGAACATAATAAGAATATGTTATACGTGAAATTTTAAATATCAAACAAATTTTTCTTTTCCGACTCGTTATCGAGTGCCAGGTTTATATAAATATGTTTCTAAATAGAAATAAAATAGAAATTGAGGTAATACAAATGGAACTTTTCATTGCTTCGCTACATACGCAAAAGTTATACGTTTTCCAAAATAATAAGTGCATTTTAAAGAGTATGCAATTTATAAATTCAAAACATTACACTGAATGTTTTATTTTAAAACAATACAATTTTATATTAAAAAAATATGTCGTTGAATTCAACCAATATTTGTAGCATACCATGAATAAAAATGATACATTCTTCGTCTTTCAAACTTTAAAATTAATTTTGACCACACAATTATATTTTTATAGAAAAAATATAAAAATTATTTATTTTATATTTCAAAACAAACCATACTAAACTCGAAAAAAAAATACCTCAAGTTTGAATAATATCGTACAATAATGTATTAACTACATAAATATTATTTGAACAAAATATATAAACAAAAGTGCATATATATATATATATATATTTATTAATTATAAAAGATACAAAAACTACTAAATACGTTTTTGAATAATGCAACTACTTGAATGCCGAAGAGTATCATTGCCGAACAAAAATAAAAAAAAAAATTAGCTAGCTATACATTTATTATAATTTTGTTTGTTCTTGATTTCTTATCTACTTATTGATGCGTCCGCAATATTGGATAAACAAAAGTTTTCTTATTTTCGTTCTTTACCAAGATTTTTTTTTTTGTTTGGAATTAACACCTTACACCATACTTATACTATTTCTTTCGATGCAGAATAGGTATAATATTGTTGTATTTAATAATACTTTTACATTTTACCATCATTT